CTGGCTGGATTCCTTTTGACTTGAACCAGATTGAATATAAAGTTTTTTCATTCATTTGTCAAGTACTTTAAAAAGTGGACCATTCCCGCGTTTGGAACGCGTAAACAATGCTTAATCCACTTTACATATTTAAAACGTAATATGCTGTTTCCTTATTGTCACTTAAATGCGCCTTTCTTTTGGCAGCTGCCCAAGTCTGAAGTCCAGAAAAACCGACATTATGCCTACCAACAAAGGACGCCTAGGAAATTGTATACGACAAAAACTGTGTGCTTCCTAGTTCCATCTTCTGCTGTGAATAAAGAAGAGCATGACGGCGAATGACCTGATGACTCATTGCAGACAAAGAACCGGCAATGACCGACGACAAAACTAAATAGAGGAAAACTGCCGGGGCGTGGTTTAAATCCAAGATCGCTGCGTGACGACTTGGGAGGAGTAGCAATGAAAATTTCGAAGCGCATATTTCGAATGGTCAACTCTTGGACTGCAAACAGTAAAGTAAAATACGGTTTACTTCCTCTCACAGAAAGCATAAAGAAGTCATCAACGTAGACACAAAATTATGACTAAGAAAAATCGACTTCAAAAGACTAGTTTTGCTGACGCAATAAATAATATTACCGCGATAAACTGAAAGATTTAGATTAGCATTATCTTTATTTGGCTTCGACGATCCAAGACCCTGCAATAAGGAAATGAATCACAGAGCGAGGATATAGAAGACAAGTCGTATGCGCCCGCGCTCGCATCTTACACCGTAGTAACTGTGGTTTAATTTTAACGCGTCTCTTTGTGAGTAAACTAAGACGATTGCATTCGCGCATCTGGGATGAGTAAGCCACGCTCTGAAAACGCGCACCGCATTTATTTTAATCGTATTAAAAGGAACAGAAACATTAAACGTTCGAAGGAATAAATTCTGAAACAACGTTTTGTGTAATCAATCACGCGAACGCATACGAACAAGCAGGAACCTGGCAATTAGTGGAAACTGCGTCGAATTTTCTAAGCTTACGTACCGCCTACTCTCTGGGCCTATCTATGTAGTAAACACAGCTCTAAACAGGTCGTCGCTCTCCCACCTACTTTCTCCAAGAACATTATACAAACGTCCAGAGACTGCGCGTAACGTTATGCGCACTGCAAGTAAAGCTACAGGTCGGGACGATGATGATAAGGACATCGAACTGCACGTCGAACAAGGATTTATATCGATCTACAAGACTACAACATGCAAAACTGCACCTTTTGGAGACAATGATATGCCGTATGCGCACGCGCGGCGAATGTATGATTTTTTGTCGCGAAGCCATTTCTTTTTTATTGTTCTAATTTTCGACACGCAACCAAATAATCGGCATAAGCGCTTTTAGACTATTATTTTTGGGAAGCCGCACCTTGATTGTTAATCTAATAAGTGCGTAAGTTAAGTGGCAATTGGCAATAGATTAAAAGGCCCTTAGTAGGGTCTCGCTCGGTATAACATTAATAATCTTGTTTAGTAAGTAAACAAATAAATCATTGTCTACATTTTGACACAACTGAGTTGAGAAGGAATCTAGTTCTGAGCGTCGCTTGAGTTTTTACAGAGAGTTGATAGGTAACGGCACAAGTAACGGCTGAAAAGGACGATATCATTGTTTCTTTTTCGTGTTTTGGATATTATGTTTCTAATAAAACTTGGTAAATACTAAGCGATGGAGTGAAAAGTCCCCTAACACCAGTTATGTAATAAAACCGCTTCATATTAAAACTAATAGCGATAGTAGAAAATCGCTAGATATGGGAGCTAGGTTTTTATTATTGGATCGATGCGATATTGTTACGTAATTTGTCGACATGAATTACTAGATTGCTATAAGCAATCAAAACAATTATAGTTAAAAGGCAAAATGCCGCTTATTACGTGACAACATAATCCAAATAATATATTTCGCGGAACATAGGTAAACGCTGATTAAACTATGTAATCATAGGCATCGGAACATATAGGTAGGCAATCTAATCTAAGATATACCTAATATTATAAATGCGAAAGTAACTGTCTGTCTGTCTTGCTTTCACGCCTAAACCACTGAACCGATTTTGATGTAATTTAGCATAGAGAGTTAGAGTCCCGGGAAAGGACATAGGATAGTTTTTATCCCGGTTTTTGAAACAGGGACGCGCGCGCGTTAAAGTTTTTCTGTGACAGACAAAATACGCGGACGAAGCCTCGGGCGGAAAGCTAGTATGAAATAAATTAGTGTGAGGAAGCTGTATCATGACGAGCACGAGCAAATAAAATGGAAGCCATGTGTATCTTATAGCGCAAATGGAGTTAATCGACCGAATTATTTTCCCATCCACATTAATTCAAGTCTATTTCTCGCTGTTGCTCATGCCAGCATCTCCCTACGAGCGAAAGGGATAGCCGAATACGAGACTACGAAAACGGCGTTGGGATAACGTGGTCTCCTGTAGACGATTTGTACCAAAAAGACTTGATAGAAACCTGATATTTATTTTGTCAAAATGTGGCGTTNAATGTGACGGTGTGAATTTACATACATATAATACCTACTTTAGATAATGTAGCACTTACGCACTGAAAAGTTTGACAATGCCAACAGTGAGTAAATTATATTGCTTCCTCTTTCAGCTTTATTGCGGGGTGTCTACTACTTCACAGTTCTGCACCGCTACCCTCACACGCACACATCGCTACCTCTACTGAATAAAGAGTCCTAAATGACTACCTACCTACGGAACAAGAATTTACGACATTAATTAGGGTAGGTAAAGTAAAGAAAGCATTTGTTGCAAACCATCATTATTTTGATGCATCCAACTGCTGAAATTGTCATTCTTATTTATTCTCTTTTGAAGGCAGGGCCTGCAAGCTGCTGTGCTGTATTGTATTCTGATTTCTGAGGCAAGTGAATATGCTGAAACTTAAATACCAGGAAACATTTGCCAGTAGCAAGTCACGACGTCATTTATGCCTCAAGTCACGCCAACTCAGCATATTTCGACTTATCTTGATGGGGGTCATAAATTTGCAGTGAAGTAGCTGAATTATGTAAGTCGTGTAAACGAAAGATCAATGTTAATTGCAATGTTTTCGATACTGATAATTCAAGCAAAAACCGATAGTCACAGTGCAGTGATCAAGTCATAATTTTGATAAAGAGATGCTGTTCTCTCTGCTCTGATATTTTCTAAAGGTTACATTGTGTGATAAATTCTCGCATTTTTATCAGCCAGCTGGAATTACATATATGGAATTAATGTTAATGGTAACCTTTTGTCTCTTACCTAATCAGATGCAATTCGGAACTTGTAGTCGGCATTAATATCCAATAAATATGTAGATGTATATAATGAGGGACACAAAGAGAATATTGATGTTGCAATTACATGATTGCACAAAATTTGACTCTTATTTACATTGCAATATGGCCATACTTGTCTTTGTTCATCTATTGCGTTGTAGACAATTGCTGTTGTGAAATTTTAGTCTTTATGAGAAGTTTCTTAACTTAAACTATTTATGTTTTGTTTATTTCCAAATAGATTATCTACATTGCATATATATACTATTATACAACAAAGTAATTAAATAAATTTGACTAGGCAATTAAGAATGTTATAATCGTTTTCATAAATCTCAAGCTAAAGTAATATTTTTATTTATCACATACATACAACTTAGATGAAGCTGAAATAAGTGAAGAATGGAAGCTTTGAGCCAACATTTCTAAACATTTAGGTATTTGCACAACATCACATCAAATTGTATTTTACAAAAATTTGCTGTAAATGGGAATGCTAATATCTTCTTAATTTACATAAATTATCAATTAATTTTAATAAAAATATCGGCAGATTTTATGAGATTCATGAAGGGAAAATGACATTAGAGTGAAGTAGGAGGTAATTTAACAGACGTAGTATGATGTCTGTTAAAAATAAACTATTTTTCTGTTTATTTTGCTTTTACATTATTTGATAGTATTAATAAAATAAAGTTGTGATCATTAAATACAATAATACTTTTCTGAAATTAGCAAGTCTTTCAATGAAAATATAAGTTATAGATATGCAAGAAAAAACTTCTTACCTATTAAATCTCCTGAAAACTGTACTTGGATACCAATTACTTTTTCATAAATATAGTTAGATACGGCGAATATATTGAGCACATTAATGAAACCTGTAAGAGCATAGACTTACTAAATTTTTATAAATTCAAATAATACAATTTGGAATACACTATCAAAACCTAACCATCAAAACCTAATAAATTAAAGTAGGTATGTACGTGCACAAGGCAGATATTTATGTTATGTATATTTAGACTGCTTTGTGAATTCTGACTAAAATGCGAAATGTAACCGTTTTCACAACAGTTAGTCTAACGGAAAAACAGAATACCTTGATTTAGGAAAAGTAGAAACTGACTTTATTACATGCCGCAATATTTTACGATTTAAAAGACTTTAATACTCACTTTCAGTCGTGTAAGATTTCCATCTCTAGCAGCGTTGTATACGGCTGTTTTGAAATCCATGGTGGTTCTCTTTGAGTCGCAAAAACACACAATAAACAAAATGCCACGTTATGAACAGCACTTTCTTCTGAGAATAATCATTGAAAAAACACAATTTCACGAATAATCAAAGCAACCAGTTAATTAATTTCAAAACACTCCGACACGACACCCTTCTTCGCTCAATGAACAGCTGCAGCGCGACGACGTCCTGCCAAATCTGCCATTAAATAAAATATCCACAGACAAAATTAATCCATCGCCATAGACAAGGATGAGAAAAATATTGACATTTGCTTTATGTGTTGCCGTAACTAAAAAACATAAAGGAGCTTTTACACTAAGTATTGCATCAGTTAAATCATAGACAAATAACAGTAACGCGTTATTTTTCATTAATTTAACTGAGAATACCAATCTTATGACCGAATGATGAATGATGTTGATGGATGACATGACAGCCGAACAAAAATTACGGCGTGGATTTATGGTTAAAATTTAGCGAAACTGTCTGTTGCTTGTTTTACAAAGTAATTGTTGAATTAGAGTTTTACACAGAATTTTATAAGCCTGTTTGTAATCTAAATTAGGAGTTGTGGATGTTGAGATAATGACCGATAATTCAAAAGTTTTGAGGCAAAGTTTGTGCATATCATTGTCATTAGCGCGTAAGTCGGGCTCCCCCCCGGTGTTTAGTGTGTTATAGCAGCGGCAGACAGTATTTTAGGAAATGGTGCTGATTGTGTTTGCTAACGGATCAAAAGAGAATTTTATTTGATTGTGTGTATTGAAGTAGCAGCGATAATTAGGCGTCGAGATGTATCCAGCGCCGACGCGGCACCCGGCTGCCGCGGTAAGGGTTTGTGTTATTTTCTTACTTTACCAGCCGTTTTGTTTGTAGAATAATGTCCGAGTGACTACTTGAGTGTCTCAGATCATTGCTTTTTGAGTTATTTGCACCACAAACTGCCTTATTGGCCTCGTTTTTGTATTTACATTTGCAGGGACCTCAGCCTACGTCTGGGCCCATAAAGTTTACGATAGCCGACACTTTAGAACGTATCAAAGAAGAGTTTAACTTTTTACAAGCCCAATATCACACGTAAGTACTTAATTAATTGTTGAAAGTCACTTTTATGTTGTTACTTTTCGCTGATAATGCATGCAATGCTGATGAAAACAATCATTTTCAGATTGAAGTTAGAATGTGAGAAACTGGCAAGTGAGAAAACAGAAATGCAAAGGCATTATGTTATGGTAAGCTTGGATATAAAACATCTTTTACTACTATTGAACTTAATAATAGGGTAATTAAGCAGGATTTGGTATTATTTAAACAGATAATTCATGTTTTCTAATTTCATTTATTTGACCAAGTATCTTAATTTCCAGTATTACGAGATGTCGTATGGACTTAACGTGGAAATGCATAAACAGGTAAGCTAACAATTTAAGCCATGTTAAACAATTGTTTACGCATACTTTTATGCTAATTTCTTGTTAGATTAGATGACTATTTTTTTTTGCTTGTTTCTTTAGTAAGTTCACAATAAGTTAATTAGTATTTATTTATGTTAATTTGACAGTTCATTCATTATTAATTTTAAAATGCTTTTGCTATTAATAACTGTCTATATTTTTTCTAATAAGTGTTGTTAATTGTGTGCAGATCTAAGAATGTTTAGTTTTACCAATAATTCTGATCAGTAATAGGAGTTAGCAAAATTTTTAACCACTTGAATTGAAGGCAGGCTGACCACTTCATAATAACCTAGTTGTATATTTTAAGTCAAAATCTTATGTTAATTAAAAATAGTTTCTTTTAAATATCATAGGGCCCAATAATCTTCAACATACAACTTTTTTACAGACTGAAATAGCAAAGAGGCTTAACGCTATAATAGCCCAAGTTCTGCCGTTCCTTGCGCAAGAACATCAGCAGCAAGTGGCGTCAGCGGTGGACAGAGCGAAGCAGGTCACCATGTCTGAGCTCAACGCTATCATTGGGGTAAGATATGTGCGTTACGACTCATTCATAGTTACTAATCGAAAGCAAGCCTTGTAATGGAGATAATGTTTATTTTTTTCGTTTTAAGCAGTTTCTATTAGTTTTATAAAATAATGGAATTAAAAAACTTGTTTTACAAATAGTATTTGACATTTTTGCATTACTTGAAGTTACTTTCATGTTTTTTTTATTAAGTTTACCATTTTACATCATTATCATAATAAATTAAAAACTGCGGTTATCATGCCATAGTAAAATATGAAGCATGCTAGAGTAAAATGCATAGTATCCTTGATAAATGAAAACAATTGATTATTGTATCATTAACATCACAAAATTCACAAACAAATGAAGTACGCTTAGAACTAGCATGCAGTGACATAACAAGAAACATATCTGCACAAACTATACCTAACCATTTACTGCTATGTATTTTAACATTTTCTTAAATTAAAAAAAGCAGCGGCATTCAATGAGGTAACAAACAAGAAGTAGTATTAATTTACATCAAAAAGGTTAGATGAATGCTGAGAATTATTAAGCATAAGTCTGCCCGCGACCATGTCATGCAACCAAGTTGAAACGTCGGGAGGGTAAATCTGTTTACCGTTATAAAAGTTTTGGTTGCAAAATCCCGTGAGAGTGATAATTTTATAGTGAAAAATGCAACATAATAGTTTAAAATATTATTAAGCATCAATGGAAAATGAATATAATGCTTCAAATTAATAGCATTATTAATATTCGCAGCAGCAACAGCAACAAGGCCTCCAGCAACTCCTTGTAAGTCACGCACTAGTGTTTGGTTTATGTTTGTTGTGATTAACATTATTATCATTATGTTGCCATATATTTTGTTATCATCCAACAGGTGTAATTGGTATTGCCATTAACGAGATCTTTTGCATTTTCTTTCGTTTATTATTTGTTATTTGCTTTTACTTAGAATATGTGTATTGTTTGATATAACAAAGCGTTCTTGCTTAAAAGACTATTTTTAAATACAAGTACATAACTACACAATTCTTAACAATAATGCTAAATGTTCATTCTTTATGTATTTTAATGTTTTACGTACGTAGATAAATACTTACGCACGTTATGTACATTACATTATTGTTAGAAAATACATAAATGTTTTCGTGTTTCGATGGCGACGAGTTTTTATACACAAGATTCTTGCTTTAAACATATTTTCATTTCTTTCCATATTTTCATTGTTTATTAATGTTCACTTCCTAATCAAAGCAATGCACCAGTGAATTTGTAATGTTAATTTCATAAATGAAAATGCAAAAGGTAACAGCGATTTAGTCGAAAATACTATTCAATGGAACTGTTTTATTATTTTTCTAACTTCACATATCATTGTTTGCAAGCACCGTAGCATTGTTCACTTAGTTTAGCCTCTAACTTGTACTACTTGAGGTATTATGCTTGTTATTATTTTTAAAATTGTTATGAATTAATAAATACGATGTGTTTGATGCTACATAAGTATAAATCGCTCATACAATCCACTTTGTGTTAAGTTATTTTGCACTTTATTATACCTACATTGTATCAAAGCATTCATGTTTTTGTTTTATACATTTTTATTTGCTCATTATTTACTTTCCGTGTCTAATAGTAGATTTTAACGGTTGCTGAACAAACGGGCAATTGTTATTATAATATAATTTATATGTAGATAATAATAAATCATTGTAAACCAAGTGTCAAGTGATGCAATAATAGTTGAAACACGTTTTTAAGTTTTGATAAATGGAAACTTTTTAATTTCATTATTGTGTTTTGCATATTAACAATATTCGGTATCATGTGGGCATCGTTCTATAATGAAAATCATACCTACCATACATATTTCAATACATAATAAGTGGGCATTCCATCTTCAGTATTTTACTAACACATAAATATTCATAATTCAATGTCATACCTCATGACAAACATAACTAAGTTGTTAAAATACGCTAATTGGAGTTAGAGATAAGAAATTTTATTGCCTTACGGTGTAAATACACTGGGCCAATATTGTCACACTAAATAACATTGTTTGTTGAGATTACGACTGTGTTCTTACGCTCTACAATACTACGTTTCAAAGTGGATTTTACCATCAGTAAAATTTTTGTTTTGTGCAAACATTTGACTGAATGAAAAACATTATTTAGTTTAATATTGTGAAGTGCCTATTTCAGTTCTCTGTAGAACATTGACCTCCACAAAATGCTCATAACGTACCCAGATTTACAGTTATTCTATAACTTTCGTATGTTGAATTAAATCCTTGCTTTTTAACAAAGTTATACATAATATTGCGTGGAGAAAAAGCGTATCGCTCTGATGAAAATTACATTAAAATTAACTAAAAACTAGTTATTTTAATAAATGTTGCAATTATGTTTTACATTGATATTGGTTTAAAAACAATATCCATTCTCAAGATTTTATAAGTATAATGTTGACGAGTCCACTGTGTGTGAACAATGTTTAAATTAATATAAAATTACGTTTAAACAAGCTGGGTTAAACACAGTCTTTATCAATATTAAATAAAAGAGGCCTGTCTCATAAAATATTTTAACACACACTTCTTGATACACGCTCAATAATACAGTTTTTGAATATAGCAAAACTTCGAATCGTTTGCGTATTCGAATCGCCATCAAAAGATGTAATATGAAAACTTACAGCACCCCTGTGAACGTAACAACCCTTAACCTGGCAGAAGTGGCAGAATTGTTACCACCATATTTTGAACTTTATTGAGAAAACATAAGGTTCAAAAGCAATGATTTTTTTTTCTCTATACCAGTTTAGGGGTGAAATGAAATTAGTATGTGAAATGGTAGCACGAAACTAATTTTGACAACCGAGATTGTCACGTTATCGTCGAATTCAAAGGCTGGGTATAGAATTTTGTTGAATACGCAAACGATTTGAAGACGAAAGTTTTTCCTGCTAGAGGTACGGGCCTCACCCCTTGCCTTTGTCCAAAGAAGTAGGATGTAAAGTTTATTTCTCACCAACATGACAGAAAAATAAAAAATCAGGAAAATAGTGAGTGATGGTGGATTGATAGGTACCTGGGGGCGTAGTGTGAGTTTACGTCAAACGCATGCGATATCGACTGCATAAAAAAGTGACATTAAATGTATGACTGATTGTACAACGCCCCTAACGGAAACATTCAATAACTAAAATCTTTAACGCAGTCGATATCGAATGCGTTTGACGTAAACTCACACTACGCCCTCAGAACTATGGTTCCTGTGTCTCGGATGTAACACAGTTGTTGTCTTGTAGCAGCAGATCCATGCTTCGGCGGGCCTGTCACACGGAGTGGGCGGGGCTTCGGGTCTGCTTGGGGCGGGCGGGTTACTCTTCGCGCCGGGGGCGGGGCCGCCGCCGCCGCCGCACTTGCCGCCGCAAGCGCATAAGGTGAGACCTTAGTGCCTAAGGGCACAGAATAATAATAAGTACTACGTACAGAAGTTTTACTTCGCGAAGGTATTTAAAAAAATGTATGCTCAATGTCATTAACAATATGGTGTAATTTAGCCTGTCTCAAGAGTCAAGCACCATTTTGTTGACAAACGTCAGTGATCGGCACTGCGCCGAAGCTATAGGGCCGACTTCGGTAAAATGATGTGACGTGAGGTGCCAAACTGCGGAAAATCGCGGAGGAAATACATGATTTAGCATGAATTATCATGAATAATATTAACTACTTATTTACCTCTCAGTGTATTGAGGCAACTTAAAAAAGTACATTCTGTGTTTTTATTATTATTTAGGCAGTTAAATACTGCACAGTATTTAGTAAACCATTTTCTTAATTTTTTTCCATCATACACAAGAATACGCGTGCGTGAGTCAATGTTCGCTCGTATGTGAGGCCTTGTCGAATAGTATCCTGTAGGTGGGCCATCGTGCGTGTTTTGTTTTCGATGTAAACTCGCGGAGATGAACAGGCCTGCTAAGGGTGAGGGTTCAAAGTTGCATAGCGTGCTGTAGAGAGGTCTATGCCCAGTGTTGTGCATTTGGTGAGACACGTTAAGCTTAAGACAATTAGCTTGGCATCAAGATGCCTAAAGATGGAAATTCAAGTTACATAGCGTGCTATAAAGGCATTTATGCTCAGTGTTTCTTTACGGGACCGGATACAAATGAAGAGATCAGTAAGCGAACTGACAGAACAGCTCTGGTACACCATTTTCCATGCCTAAGCGTATAAAATGTTTGAAGGTAAATCGAGTTGGAAACTAGCACCCCTCCTCTTTCCAATAAAATTTACACGCACATCTGAATCCCCTTTTAAGGTAGTGTGTCCCCTTTTTAGGTTTCAACGTGTTCGTTCGCTGCAATTCAACCAAAGATCGCTCATAGCTAGACAAAGGTCTCCCCTAAGGATTCCACGACGACCAATCTTGTGCTGCCCGCATCTAAGTGCTTCTCGCAACCTTCTCCAGATCGCCGGACCAAGTTCTCCCACTTGTGTTCAACGTGGAATAACTTACTAAAGCCTGGTCCGTGAGCACGTAGAATTTTGTCCAATGACCCCAAGCTACCCATCCTTATCGCACACTCACTACGGGCGTCCGTCGCACAGTCGCGACAGCAATATAATTACGCGCGAGCGATAAGGATGGGTAGCTTGGGGTCATTGGACAAAATTCTACGTGCTCACGGACCAGGCTTTAGTAAGAGCAGTAGAGTTCAAATTACGTTTTGTACCCAGGTGGAACTACCTCCCCCGGCGGACATCAAGCCCCCAGTCTTGCCAGGGGGGCCGGCCCCGCCCCCCTTGTTGCCGGGGCAACCGCCGCCTCGCGAGGATGACAGGCACGCAGCGTCCAGGGCTATGCAACAAGTGAGTGTCTTTTTAACCGACTTCAAAAGAGGAGGTTCTCGATTTGATTGTTGTGTTTTTGGAAAGCACGAATTTCAAATAATTTATTTTCAGTAAAGCTGTCTAGAATTTTAAGTGAATAAACGTGTCAATGACACCACTCAAATGATTTCTTATAAATGATTACATTGAAAATTCATTGAGAATTTATTTTATGCTTGAAGCTTAATTAAACATTTAATGAGGGTTTTCGCAAATGAAAAATCCGCCAGATGGCAATACGTAGACGCGAGGTCCAAATGCTGCATGATTGGTTATTTTTGACATGACATTGACAGATATGTCAAAATCCACCAATCACGCAGCAGTCAGACCCCACATCCACGTCCCGCCATCTAGCGGATCTTTCATTCGCGAAAACCCTCATTATAGGTGTGCGATAACTCTTGAGGCTTATTATGAAAAAAAGAGTTGTAACTACACATACACAAGTAGGATTTTGCAACCATTATCATTATTTATTTTATTTTATTCAATAAGTACACATACATTATTATTCTAATTAGAAATCAAATAGAATTTGAATTATAGACATCCTTATTTATAAAAACAAATGTATGTACCAAAGACAACAAACAAAACTGCCAATAAACCATAGCCTCCTACAAAGTTAATTAGCCAAGGTTTGCTTGTATTTTTTTTTACTCCATTAAACCCTTTGACTTTCCGCGCTTTTGACTATGTGCGTTTTTTACAATCTGCAATCGTTTGTCATTTTGCGCTTTTAACCATATGCTACTAAACGCAAATCATCAACACATCAAAATCTCTTTTAATTTATAGTTACCCTTCCAGAGACGTTCGGTGTCGCCGCACGAGCGCGAGCAAAAGTACCGGCCGCGCTCCCCAGCCGAACCGGAGGCTTTGGACGCCAAGCGACGGAAGGAGGAGAAGGTACTCAGTCATGTGAGTCTGTGTAGTGTATGTGGCTTTACCTTTATCATGTTGCTTGTTTTGTTTTTTGTTTGGTCCGGGCGGCTGGGGGTTGTTATTGGTTGAAAACTTATTGGGAATGGTTTGGTTTTATGCTCCTCTGTCGTAAGAACAGTTGTAAACTATCGATTATGTTGTTTGGCACCGTCTCTCTCTCTCTCTCTCTCTCTCTCTCTCTCTCTCTCTCTCTCTCTCTCTCTCTGACGGACGCTCTCGGTGAGACGTCACCTTTACATTCTTCTGTTGCGTATCGCACCCTTATTTCTACCTACTGAAAATCCATTTTATCCATCTAATTCAAGAAAGACTTGCTGTGTAGGCTTTGATTGGGACGAAAGAGATTCAAATATTGAATTTGTAAGCCATAGATCCCATTGTCTATCTATATCATTGGCCTTTAAAAGTCAACTTCTGGGGCTATAGTCTGGTCTGTGAGCACGTAGAATTTTGTCCAATGACCGCAAGCTACCCATCCTTATCGCTCGCGCGTAATTATATTGCTGTCGCGTCTGTGCGACGGGCGCCCGCAGTGAACGTGCGAGCGCGACAGCAACATAATTACGCGCGAGCGATAAGGATGGGTAGCTTGGGGTCATTGGACAAAATTCTACGTGCTCACAGACCAGACTATAGAAGCTAGCAAGTATTCTACACTGATAACTTCGTAAAAAATATATAAAAATCGTATCCGAATCATATAAAACAATCCCAAAATCTAGCGATTCATGACATTATATTTAAAGTCAAAAGATCTTTTACTTTTAATATAATGTCATGAACTTGAACCTAATAATGTGGTTACCTAAAACTAAGACTGATAACAGCCTCCAGCTTACCTTTTGACGCTTGAAGACTTGGCTTGTGTATCCGTGAGTTGCTTCAAACCATAGCTGTCTACATAAAGATCATTTTTAGTTCATGGATTGCTTATATTTATTAATATTTAAATGTAGACCGTGTTTAATAACCAGTGACTTAATTTTTAGGACAGCGACGCGGAAAAAAGTGACCAAGATCTTGTAGTAGATGTGGCCAATGAGGTAAGAGTTGTGTAAAGAGGTTTGAAAAAAGAAATTATAAACTTCTTGCTCTACTTTATTTATATGGTGTGGACTGTATAGGGCGACCAACGAAAGTTGAGGCAACACATGTAATGATGTAATAATTGAATACAGAACACACAAATCAGTCAGAATACTAAGACTTCAGCGCGAAAAGCGTATACAGGTACAAATCTTTATTTGTGTTGATCGCCTCAACTCTTGCTGTGCGAGCTATAACTGTAATACAGGGTGGCTCAGAAGAAAATTCACTTTTGAAAATTTAAGGAAAAGAAAACTGTACATTTTTGTAGAACTTTAATTATTATACCACACAACCTTGTCGAATTGCCAATAAACAAATTTAAGATACATATAAAAAATACCCTTATGTCCAAAGGGTACTACAAGGTTCGAGACTATATTGATGACAAGGATGCGTGGTCAGTTCAGTCTGCACATATTTGATGTACTTAAATTTGACTATTCTTACCGTTAGATAATTCCTGGCAATAAGTGGTGACTGAGTTTGTTCCGGCGTTTCTTCTCAGCACTTGCCATATGTTTGTCTCGAAGCGCTGGTAGGGCCCAAAAGATAAGGAGACATGTAAAGTGCCCCATAAGGGCTACCTTTTTCTTTTTTTATTATTTTCTATTGACGTTCATAAGTGCCACTTGTGGTCTAAACTGAATAAATATTTTTGATTTTGATTTTGATTTTTGATTGCAATTTAAAGGAAATTTCATGCAATTTATTTTTGAATTTACTTTCTTTTTTAAATTTGATCGTACATGTGATTCCCTTGACATTTACAACATTCGGTCAACATGCATAAAATTTTTGGAAAACTTTCGTTAGAGTTACCTCGAAATGGTTTCAGGATGGATGAATGCTGCAGAGTTTTTGGATTATTAGAGTATACACTGCTCATAACGTAACCCCACAAAAAGAAGTCTGCTGGAATGAGATAAGGGCTTCTTAGTAGCAATGAGATCTCACACCTGCTTAATTGGTTTGTTGCATCGAAAGGATGATTAATTTTTAGAGCGCTATACTGGCATGCTGAAAAGCTTCTTGATTTCCAAAGTGGCAAGATTCGCAAGGCTATGACAGGAGCACTTGGTTTCATCAAGAAGGGGCTACGTGTCACACTTCAAATGAGAGCATTTGGATGGTAAGAGACATGTGACCACAAAAAAATAATTTCAGGCAGGGGTGACATCTCCTGACCACCAGGTAGTCCTGATCTCACTCCAGAAAACTCCTTTTTGTGGTGTTACCTTGAAAAGAAAAGAGCGATGGAGCGTGCTATGCTCGGAGTTTCCCTGCGTGATCGAATCAGAAATGAGGAGATCCGTAGGAGAACCAGAGTGACTGACATAGCCCGCAGAATCGCTAAAATCAAGTGGCAGTGGGCGGGGCACATAGCTCGAAGAGCTGATGGCCGCTGGGGCAGAAAAGTTCTTGAGTGGCGACCACGAGCTGGAAGACGTAGCGTGGGCAGGCCTCCCACTAGGTGGACCGACGATCTGGTGAAGGTCGCGGGAAGTACCTGGATGCAAGCGGCGCAGGACCTGTCTTTGTGGAAATCCTTGGGGGAGGCCTTTGTCCAGCAGTGGACGTCTTTCGGCTGAAACGAACGAACGAACCTTGAAAAGAGTATACTTTTATAATCCAACAACCATGCAGCAACTGAAGCTGAACATTCGGCAAAAAATGGAAAATAAGTTTCGAGGTAATTCTAACGAACGCATTTCAAGTTTTGATGCATGTTGATCTAATGTTGTAAGCGTCAAGGAAATCTCCTGGACGATGTAATTTAATAAAGGTAAATTTAAAAACAAATTTCATTTCATTTTCTTTGAATTGTAATGAATAAAGTTCTACAAAATTACACAGAATTTTTTTCCTTGAATTTTCAAAATTGAATTACTTTCTTGGCCACCCTGTATTTGACGTCTGGTGTCAGACTTTAAGTTACCATAGGTGTCTGGCATCATGGCTCAATCGAATAGATGGCTTTGTGTGCCCTCCGAATATTTCTCTCTCGATTCAGGATGTTGTAAACTGGCAGTAGCTTAGACAACTTCAAAAACAACAGACTAATATGCTAAAACAATTGTTTGTGATTATTTTTTACTACTAATGAGGTCGTAGCTTCCATAATGTCAAAAATACTCAATTTAAATGTTCAGGCGAATTATGTGCTCATCCTCTTTCTTATAAGAAAGTAATAGAATTACTGTGGTTTAAGCCTCATCACGTTGAATTACGGATCAAAACACAATAGGTACATATTCTTTTACATGGTCTTTTATGGAGTTATCAAGTATTTATTGCAGTTGGTTAAATAAAATTAAGCAAAATGCCCATCTGTCGTGTGCAGCTGTTTTGGTGAACATTATTGTGTAACCAGATCTGTGAAATTTGTTTATTTAGACCATATTTCAGTAGCTTAAGTAAAGCGATGGTGAAATTATTGAAGATGAATGCATTGCAAATAAATTTCATATCGACAAAAAGATGACCTAGGTGTAAAACAAAACCAAAATAGAGTAATTATATTTATGAAGTCCAATGTCTTCATTCTTAATTAAACGAATGAGATAATTTATCCTCATATAATAAAAATACTATACTTCTGAAATCGACACCATTCGTTCGTTCATTTTAGCCAAATGACGTCCACTGCTGGACAAAGGCCTCTCCCAAGTATTTCCATAACGACTGATCCTGCGCTGCCCGCATCCACTCTTCCAAGTGAAGAATCTCTGGAATCGATACCATATTCAAACCAAAATCATGTGTACCAATTTAGCGCTAAAACGCGTCTCTATTGCAGGATTGTGATCATCATCATCATTTTCAGCCATAGGACGTCCACTGCTGAACATAGGCCTCCCCCAATGATTTCCAATGGCCAGTTGGTGGCGGCGTGCTAGGTTAGGGTTGTGTTAAGAATTCAAATAAACTAATTCCATTCTATGTTTATTGCAGGAAGAGAGGGGTTCCCCAAGCGTTCGCACTGAGGGCGGGGAAAGAACTGAAAATGGACCGAGGCCGCCTTCTAGATCCGGTTCATCTTCAAGTCGTTCCACGCCCAAGAGCTCTAAAGATGTGAGTTACTCCTATTACTTTTCTTTTAAAATATTTTGTCTGCAAAAGATAACGAAAATCATATTTTAAAATTTTTGGTTTTATAGTTTGCAATAACTGTAAAAACGTCTCCTTTGTCGCTACACTCTTGGCAGAGTGGTCGTGTTTGTCACATCTGGTTTGATGGCAAGCTTCACAATCCGTTGCCATTCCTCTCGCATTGAAATAAAGAAAGAAAAAATGTTTATTCAGTATCATCGACAATACACTTGCAATACTTAACATTATTTAATGAGAAGGTAATTACAATGATACTGAAAAGGTATCCACTCAGCATGGTGTCGTAGCATCTCAGTAGATAATGCCACGACGCTGGTCTTCCGTGGACACCCAAACAGGGAGAGCACTACTGAGCACAACAAAATACTGAGCAACCTTTCTTGTACACTCGTGGAGTGGACCATTGAGTGTGGTTTTGACCTGATCGGTCCAGCACATAAGCGACCTGCAGCGCGCTCTTGTGCCTTCAACCTTCCCCTGCTACTAAAATGTCACTATATAAAAATTGCCTAATGTACTTTCGAACGAGTAGAATCTTTGTAAGAAGGCATTGTTACCGTTTGACTTCAATGACTGTTAATCAAAGTTTTACCGTGTAAAAAACTACTATATTCTCTTGCCAGGAAAAACCCGGAACGCCAGGTGCTAAAATGGGGCGGGCTTCCACGCCCACGGGATCGGGGCGTGGCTACGGGTTCCCGGGGTACGCGGGGTACCGGCCGCCGCACCCCTACGACCCGCCGCCCCATCATAGGACCAACGGGATCGCGCCAGCCAAGCCGTGAGTACAACACTATAAAGCCCGGTCTGTGAGCACGTAGAATTTTGTCCAATGACCCCAAGCTACCCATCCTTATCGCTCGCGCGTAATTATATTGCTGTCGCGACTGTGCGACGGGCGCCCGCAGTGAGTGTGCGAGCGCTATAGATCATTTCATCCACGAAGAGGTGTCCCACCATTCTTCCGCTAATGTTTGAGTGTTATCGGTGCACGCTCAATTAGCCATGAGTGCACACGCACACTACAATAATGACGCTCGGATTGCTCGGATCAAACTCCCCGCACCCCGCGCGACCGAGACCAATAATTGGTGGGACGCGTCTTCGTGGATGAAACGATCTATATGACTGCAGCGCTTAACTGAGTCAGTTCCTGAGGTATGGGAATGGTAAGGGAGGGTGTTTTTTGTTACGTCAAATGCCAGCGGGAGTTCAGATTTGTATGCTCTGTCACGTCATATGTCAAAGTCCTTCCTGGTCCGTAGTATCTAAGTTAGTATCCGTGGTCCACCCAAGTGGACAAGTGCCCGTAGTCCACTCAGGTGGACTTGTTAGGTGTACTACGGATCAGGAAGGTCCCTTGCCGCTTCCATACCTCTGGCACTGTCTCAGTTAAACGTTAGGTCTGTATAGTATAGATACTCTCATTTGAGCCAAAGGACGTCTACGATTTCTGCAACGCTACCCGCATCTAGGTAGGAATTCTCACCACTCGATGTCATCATTGTTAATGGAAATCTGAGTAAACAAGATGGTTGTCTATAAACGGGGTAGGGGCGTGGCTACGGGTTCCCGGGGTACGCGGGGTACCACCCGCCGCCCCATCATAGGACCAACGGGATCGCGCCAGCCAAGCCGTGAGTACAACACTATAAAGCCCGGTCTGTGAGCACGTAGAATTTTGTCCAATGACCCCAAGCTACCCATCCTTATCGCTCGCGCGTAATTATATTGCTGTCGCGACTGTGCGACGGGCGCCCGCAGTGAGTATGCGGGCGCTATAGATCGTTTCATCCACGAAGAGGTGTCCCACCATTCTTCCGCTAATGTTTGAGTGTTATCGGTGCACGCTCAATTAGCCATGAGTGCACACGCACACTACAATAATGACGCTCGGATCAAACTCCCCGCACCCCGCGCGACCGAGACCAAAAATTGGTGGGGCGCGTCTTCGTGGATGAAACGATCTGTATGACTGCAGCGCTTAACTGAGTCAGTACCTGAGGTACTGGGAACAGCACGGGAGTGTTTTTTGTTACGTCAAATGTCAGCGAGACTTTAAATTTGTATGCCCTGTCACGTCATAATATGTCAAAATCACCCCTCCCGTGCCGCTCTCATACCTCAGGCACTGTCTCTGTTAGACGCTAGGTCTACAGATACTCTCATTTGAGCCAGAGGTAGTCTGCTGCTGGAATGAGGCCTATGATTATCTTAAAGATGGGCTGTCCCAAAACTAATAAAATAACTATGTGACAGCTTAGGGTTACCAAAAATAGAGCGTTAAGATCGCGAGCTAAGAAAGTGTGATAAAAAGATTTCTAATTTAGCGTTAGCCGGCTGTGACATTGTGCCATTAAACTGTTTTCCAGCAGATTTTTGGCTGATGGGGCGGGGCCCAAAGTATCTTCAGCGTTATAGCTGTATGCTTCAGTCAACAATCTCTTGTATTAACTAAAAATACATTTCTTTCCAGAGCGTACTCATATCACACATGTGGCGGGCCTCTCCAGCCCGTCCCATTCCCGGCCGACGCGCTAATCGGCCCGGGGATTCCCCGGGGCGCGAGGCAAGTGGCTGCCTTGCCTCACGGTGAAGTGGTGTGTGCTGTGGCCCTATCCCTTAGTAATGGGGCTCGACACGCTTACACGGGAGGCAAGGGGTGTGTTAAACTATGGGATATCACGAATCCGGTGTCACCTACAACGCTGGAACCTCTTTCACAGTTGGATTGCTTGGTGAGTTACTTTCATAATTATTGATGCAACACTCAACTAAATGTTCACAATCAGTCGCTTTATACACGACTAGTTGCTTTTAGTACACAATATGTAGAAAACGGTTCGGTTAAAGAAGGACAGCCTTTTTTTTTTTTTGCATAACATGGCAGGTATTTGACCACAATCGCACCTAATGTTAAGTGGGATGCAGTCTAGGATTCAGTTTGTGATTCTTTCTCACTGTTCCAGACTTCTATGTACCACTAGACGTGCTATCCTAGACTGAGATAATGCTCACAAAGGTTGTGATTACAAACACAATCTTATTTAGTCCATTTACCAACGAGCAAGAGAAGTAGATGTGCCATTAAGGCCCTCGAATTTTGTAGTTGAAAAAGACAAACCGAATGAGACCAATATAACGTTGTTATTATTTACATGCTCATTGATAACATACTTCTTACTCTGCACATGCATAGCCTATCCATCCAGGTACAAAGAAGTCTCTGCATTATTCCATTTTCATTTCAGCAAAGAGACAACTACATAAGATCAGTAAAGCTACTGCCGGACGGGCGGACCCTTATTGTAGGCGGGGAGGCGTCCAACCTATCGATATGGGACCTCGCGTCGCCCACGCCTCGTATGAGGGCCGAACTGACCTCGTCCGCGCCTGCGTGCTACGCGCTCGCTATCAGTCCCGACTCTAAGGTAACATTGTTATGTGTATTGTTTAGACTATAGTAGGACCCTTATTGTAGGCGGGGAGGCGTCGAACCTATCGATATGGGACCTCGTGTCGCCCACGCCTCGTATGAGGGCCGAACTGACCTCGTCCGCGCCTGCGTGCTACGCGCTCGCTATCAGTCCCGACTCTAAGGTAACATTGTTATGTGTATTGATGACAAGAGTAGGACCCTGATAGTAGGCGGGGAGAGGCGTCCAACCTATCGATATGGGACCTCGCGTCGCCCACGCCTCGTATGAGGGCCGAACTGACCTCGTCCGCGCCTGCGTGCTACGCGCTCGCTATCAGTCCCGACTAAGGTAACATTGTTATGTGTATTGATGACAAGAATGACCCTGATAGTAGGCGGGGAGGCGTCCAACCTATCGATATGAGACCTCGTGTCGCCCACGCCTCGTATGAGGGCCGAACTGACCTCGTCCGCGCCTGCGTGCTACGCGCTCGCTATCAGTCCCGACTCTAAGGTAACATTGTTATGTGTATTGTTTAGACAATAGTAGGAACAATATTGTAGGCGGGGAGGCGTCTAACCTATCGATATGGGACCTCGCGTCGCCCACGCCTCGTATGAGGGCCGAACTGACCTCGTCCGCGCCTGCGTGCTACGCGCTCGCTATCAGTCCCAACTCTAAGGTAACATTTACAGGCTTTGTATACTTATTACGCCTAATTTTTTATTTGTCACATTGCTTTAGGTTACCTGTATACGAGTGGAAAGGATAAAAGTGGAGCGGGGCTGGGTCAATATTAAACAATCTATACTCTATACTAATATTATAAATGCGAAATTAACTCTGTCTGTCTCGCTTTCATGCCTAAACCACTGAAGCGATTTTGATGAAATTTGGCATAGAGATAGTTTGAGTCCCGGGAAAGGACATATCGTTTCAGCCAAATGACGTCCACTGCTGGACAAAGGCCTCCCCCAAGGTTTTCCATAATGAACGGTCCTGCGCTGCCCGCATAGGGAAAGGACATAAGATAGTTTTTATCCCGGTTTTTGAAACAGGGACGCGCGCGATATGGTTTTTCTGTGACACACAAAATTCCACGTTAAGGCGAAGCCGCGGGCGGAAAGCTATTAGGGTCATTTGGCAGAGATGTGCAGAAACGATCATCATATCATAGCAACCAGTTCCGATTCGCTATATTATTCCGTATCGTTTGACAGACGCAGACCTGACGACTCGACACAAGCATTATTAAATCCAATACTTTTCTTTTTCAAAAATCTACGATGCTGTTATGCCAAGTTATTCTGCAGCCATTTGGCAGTCCTAATGTAGTATGTAAAAGCCACGGTAAAAACAATTTTATTTTACAGGTATGCTTCAGTTGCTGTTCAGACGGAAACATAGCTGTATGGGATCTACAGAACCAAACATTAGTTAGACAATTCCAAGGTATGTAATATTTTTTAATGCTGCAATGTGTGCTTCACAGCATTTTTTGTCTTTAGTCAGACGGCTTCCCTATTTTTATACCTTGTAATTTTCTCAAATTCAAATTGTTTATTTATGCGAATAGGCTCCCGGAGCACTTTTACACGTCCCAACCCTACCACTGCTTCGAGACACTAATAAGGGCCAGTGTTGAAAAGAAGCACTCACAAACGCGGTCACTTTCTATTCCTGTCTAAACACACCCATTACTAGACAAAGGCCAGCCCCAAGAATTTCCATAGCAATCGGTTCTGCGTAGTCCGCTTCTACGAGTTTTCCGCAACCAGGCGGTCTAGACTATCCGCGACGTTCTTATCGTGATATCTAATTTAGACGACAAAGGTGGGGTCCAAAGTTAAACGTTAGCTAAATCACGGGCAAAAGCTAATTATATGGCGCAAGTACCATCGGCAACAGTGTTAACTATCCATTGCCTGTCATGTCGTCTCGTTCTATCGCAAAGAATCACCATTTGATGAAAGCGAGAGAAAAAACGGAAATGGCTAGTTAATAGTGTGACCGTGTGTACATAGCGGGAAATGGTCGAGACGAATAGTTTAAAGTTTAAACATGCACTTCAGTTAGTTTCGCCGTGAGTCGCCTATACTTCGGTGTGCTCGCGCTTTGTCTCGGTCAATTTTTCACACAGTGTAACGGTGCAATGAGGGTTTTCGCGTATGAAAAATCCGCCAGATGACAATACGTAGACGCGAGGTCCAAATGCTGCATGATTGGTTATTTTTGACATGACATTGACAGATATGTCAAAATCCACCAATCACGCAGCAGTCAGACCCCACATCCACGTCCCGCCATCTAGCGAATCTTTCATACGCGAAAACCCTCATTACATAAGATTATTATTGATCGTCCAATTTGTGCCCCCAGGACATACAGACGGCGCGTCGTGCATAGACATAAGCCCGGACGGCACGCGGCTGTGGACCGGCGGGCTGGACAACACTGTGCGCTCGTGGGACCTGCGCGAAGGCCGCCAGCTGCATCAGCATGACTTCAGCAGCCAGATCTTCAGCCTGGGCTACTGTCCCACCGGTCAGTATCTAGCCCACCAGTCGATAGCCAGGTCTGCACTAGAGATGGGTTATACTAGGTAAATTTGATACTAGGTGCACCTATTCCTAGTATTTATTAATACTCGATCCAAATACCTATTCCACCTAGTATGTAGTAATTTAGCATACTTGACGCGACTAGTGCGGACTAATCCACGTAATATGACTTTAAAATACAATTTTCTTTGAAAATATACAACCGTAGAATGAATAATGCAATTTGAAATTGAGTAATAATTCCTCCCTTCATACTTCAACAGGCTTAGGACTGTCAACTTAAAAGTTGGCGTATTTAAAAGATAAATATCAATTTCATTAAAATATTTAGATTTTTTTTTCTTTTTTACATTAATTTACATGAATATGGTTTGACTACGTTTGTGTGCGTTTGCTTCGTCGCGCTCAAATTTGTTTGGTCAGACAGAGACGGAGTGAATCTCTACGTTCGCACATAAGCTTAGCGAGAAATACTCGGTACGCGTAATACGCGACTACGGATTACGCAATAATAGCCTCTATTACATTGACGGTAGGGTCGGAAATCGTGTAATTTAAAAAATACTAGGTGGATCAAGTATTTAAAAAATTGGAATAGGTGCCGCTTAGTACTGTAAAATACCTAGTGTGTGGATCTGTTCTAGTAAATACGTCTCATCTCTAGTCTGCACTGGATGATCCAACGCGCTGAGATCACGCGCAACATCTGTAAACCAACCATGTCCCACTGGCCAATATCGGCTATTGTCCACACTAAAAATCCACAGCATGTCGATTCCACGCGGCACTACCATATTGGATAGTGTACCTGAGTGCCTCACATCATACACACCAAAAACCAACTCTGTTTCACCGGTCGTCACACAAGGCATGTAAATCACCCCGTGTTAGTGAGCTTCAATCCCAAATTGAGTCCGGTTCTGAGCTTCGTTCTGCTTCAGCTTCGAGAATAGGTCAAATTTTAATTTTTAGACCAATCACAAGACAATCTACGACGAAGATAAATGTTTTTTTTTTATTTAACCTAAAACTTGTGACATCCCAGATGTCTAAGTTCATCTGATTCTAACCTACAACTTCGGTGGTTTTAACCAACAAAAAACATTATTTGATATTTAAGTTCTATACTCGTTAAAGATTACACTCACCATTGTAAATACAAAATTCCTAACACCCCATTCCATTCCAGGTTCATGGCTCGCGGTCGGCATGGAGAATTCTCACGTGGAAGTGTTACACGCGGGCAAACCGGACCGCTACCAGCTATTACTGCACGAATCGTGCGTGCTATCACTACGATTTGCCAGTTGTGGCAAATGGTTCGTGTCTACAGGGAAGGATAACCTACTAAACGCGTGGCGCACGCCGTACGGTGCCAGTATATTCCAGGTGAGATGCTAAACGGGACTATTCCCACTTCTAATTCGGGATCATCCATAAAGTACGTCACACGTAAAGAGGGGGGGGTGTTGACAAAGTGTGTCATGGTGTGACAAGGGGTGGGAGGGGTCCTAAGTTTCGTGACATCACATTTCAATTGTTTCAATTATTTGATATAATGTTGATTTCATAAAAAAGTACTTAATTTAATATTTTTTCGATGTGAAATTGCAAAACATGTGACGTCACACTAGGGAGGGGGGGGGTCTCAGAAATGTGACCACCTGTGACAAGGACGGATGGGGGGTCAAAAAATCATGAAATTCGTGTGACGTACTTTATAGATGGCCCCTTCCTACCACTTCAACTCCTGTGTAGCCAGAATCTACAGCTTGAACAACAAAAACCCAACCAGTAAAGGTCAAGTTGGTCCCGGGGGAAAGTTAAACTGTCAAGTGTCATTAGACTCGCAATGAGATGCTATATCCAATAGGACCTATATACGGGACTACTCGATACACTTTTCGTTACCGCCACATCTGCAGCGTCAGTCGCCTGTTGTATAGTCTTTATAGTTTGTGAATTGGTAGGATCTACAATGAAAGCCAACGAGTAAAGGTTGTGTAGCCCTAACTAAAGAAATATTAATATACCATTATGCATATACCCACTTGGGACTTGTTTCAACACTTATTCCCAGTAGACTAATCTGTCAAAAAAACTGAAATTGTTGGTAAAAAGATGTTGGATAATGTTGCAAAGCCAAATTGATAAATCAGCTTTCATGTAATCAATTTCGTAGTTAGCCTTATCTGTGAAATAAATAGTCAAATCTTTATTAGAAAACGGCGAAAATGGGCCTAATTCTTCTTCACTAGGCAGTAACACTGAGACGGTACTAAAACCATGTTATTTCTTTCAGTCCAAGGAGTCGTCATCAGTGCTCAGTTGTGATATATCGGCGGACGATAAGTTCATAGTGACGGGCTCCGGCGACAAGAAGGCAACGGTTTACGAGGTCGTCTACTGAATAATCTCAAATGAACTTGCGGTCCAGTGAAGTGAGATTGGTTTTATACTGACGGTTGGTGTTGGCTGTTCGACTTGACAAGGTCTGGTATGTCGAATAAATAACGAGTTTGAATTTAGAACTCTGGAATGGCTGAGTTTGAATTATGTACTTGGGAATGGCTGAATTTGAATTATGAACTTGGGAATGGTTGAGTTTTGACTTGAAAACTCTGGAATGGCTGGGTTTGTTGAATCGAAGAATCGAGAATGCCTGAGTTTGAATAAAGGACTCGGATGTGGCTGAGTTTGAATTATGAACTCGGGAATGACAGATAAAATTAAGTACTCTGAAATGGCGGAGTTTGAAAAAGGAATCAGGAATTTCTGAGTTTAAAAAAGGACTCAGAAATGGCTCAGATTGAATAAAGAGCTGGAGAACAGCAGAGAGAATTCAAACGATTGAGTTCATTTTGAATTTATAAGTTGAGTTATTGTTGTTAAGGATTCGTTTTTATTATAAGCTTACCACATACACTCTAGCAGCAAATATGTGCGGTACATACTTTTCTTTTTCAAAATTTTACACGTAGCGTATCTTAACAGAACTGAATTTATAAAAAAAAGGTTGTAAGTTAATTTAAGAGGTAAGAAAAAAGAGCATAGCTCTAATTTGTCATCAGCCAATCCCAATCACGTTAATTTAAGTGTAATTTTAATGTAACTGATAGAAATAGATCAATGTTGCACCGTTAAACATTAATATTTTAGTGTTATTGTATATTTTTATAATGAAATAAGAAAAAAACATTTTTTATTATTTTCCATGAGTTGAGTTAGTTTAGGGTCCATTTCTTACATGTATTAAATTATTTTACAGTCCAATCATCACAATGGACTAACGTGACTATTTTAATAACGTAGATCTTTAAAATCGTATACATATCTTTATTTTTTCAGTATATTTTCGAAGATTTATTGTAAAAAAGATACCATAAAACTATTAGGTCCCTAAGTAAACACATTATGAAAAATTTACATTAATAGGACTTCATTTTATTTGATAGATTTTTTTTTATAAAAATAAGGATGTTTTAAAAAAAATGCTTTACGGTTGATGTTTCTTTTCATCGACAAACTTCACGTAGAAGAAACGCACACACGCTTTTAGTGGATTGCGAGAGAATATCATGAATACGGAACCCATCTTAAGCCAAAACAATACAATGACCATCGTAATTTAGACCTAATGATTTGAAATAAAAGTGAAACCTATAGCAATGTGACATCTAAGGTTGCACCAACATTGGCACAAGATGGCGCCACCAGTAAATGTCAACATTTTTTCACTTGTCATTCTGCTTTAGACAGATAATTTTTTTTTAACATTTCTTGGAGACCTGTATTAAATCTTCTATTTTACTAGAGATTTATCCTAAAAAGTGGGTTCCATATTTAATTAACAATATCATACCATACCAATTTGTGAAATATGTTCGCGAAGAAAATCTAAACCGGTGCTGAATAGGATAGTCGACTAACTTTGATCGTAACAAAATGAACAAGATTGAAAATTCAAGCTCGAAACTCGTTATTCCGTGCATTACTCGAACTAAAGTCCGGTCGTAGAGCAGATTGAATTTCGTCCAATGGCCCTAAGCTACCCATCCTTATCGCTCGCGCGTAATTATATTGCTGTCGCGCTCGCACACTTACTGCGGCCGCCCGTCGCACAGTCACGACAGCAATATAATCACGCGCGAGCGATAAGAATGAGTAGCTTGGGGTCATTGGACAAAATTCTATCTGCTCGACGACCGGACTTTACACTATTTTGGGTTGCCGTATGAAAAAAATAGTTAGTCAATTAACCTATTTGGCCCGAAATGTACTGAATACTCGGAATAAAATCATTACTCGCTTTATCTATTAATGAACTGCTCTGTATTTAAGAAAATCTGTGATGCATCCAATTTATTTGTTCATTCTCAAAAATCTAACATTCATTTTGTAAAATTAAGTACAAGAATAGTTCCTTGTTGTTTTAGTGTAAAAATTAACATTTGAAATATTATATTCGAGCTTGCAGATTCAGACTGAGAGGTGAATGGGATGTGAATTAAATTATTAATTTTTAATTAGAGATTTGATCTTGTTTGATCTTTTTTTTTTTTGACGACTGGTAAAATGTGCTAATGATATGTGACGATTTAATATTTTGACCAGAAAAAATTGAGAAGCAAAATTGTATTACTGATATTATTTCTATTCAAAATAGTAACGAGGTTGTGGCCAGCAAATTGAGAACTAAAATCAATGACAAATAAAATGGTGATGTAATTTAACATTATAGCAATAATTTAGTTCACCATTCACTGATTTTAGTTCCACAATAAGCTGGTTGTTTCACTATTAGATTTTAATTATGAAACCAATTGTCTAAGCTTGATCTTCGTTAGATAGGTTCTTCTTTTTTGACTTGTTTCATGTTCCAACCGAACAAAGGTTCATTACATTTTATGAAAACTTTAGTTGTACGATTATTTAGCCCACATTATATTATATGGCCAGACCTGACATGGAGGTTTCTCATTAAGAAATTATTAGATCTTATCAAAGTAAACATGTTATAAATGAAAATTGGACAGAAATCTATAATCATTTTAAGTTTCAAAACATCACAACACAATGAAATGTTTATTTCGTACAAGTGTATAGTTTTATAGTTTATTTATTTTCGATACAATATTGACTGTTGACATGAAAAATAACGTATACTTGGTATCGTTTATTTTTTCTTGAGTATTTTATAGTAATAGAAGTACCTAATGTACTTAACAACTTGAATTCCAGTATCTGTATGGTTGTCAATGATCTGCAAATTGTGATATTAACTCTCCAGTAAACAAGCAATGTAAATGTTTTTATGTACACGCTACATCGGATTTGACTGTAAGCGACTAGTTGTTATTTTCATGCAAAATTGAATTGTATTACTTTAATTATATTTATTATTTCGATATGTGGTAATTTTTATTTTCAACACCCCTACAATTCCCAACTCATGTTCATTGCGCAAACATTTTTGAAGACCTCTGTGTGAAGTGTGAATTGATCTGCTACATACGCTACATATTAAAGGACAATGTTCATTTCTGGCCTGGCGTGGACAAGTTGCTAATGAAAATATGAATTTGGCAAAAATTTAATTATTTTTAAAGTATTTCCTTAGTGTAACCATGTTCTTGCAAATAAATGATTTTATTATTATTTATATTTTCTTAAAGATTCTCGGAACTGGTTGTTCCGGTATTGAAAGAGAACCTCACGGGTTGTTAACCAAGTGATGGTCCTCTTGTAGGAATCGCCGTACAATTCGGCACGTATTGAGAATTGCAGCTTTCTGCATATTATTATTAATATAACTTTGTATCAATTTACTTAATTAAAAATCCAATTTTAATAGTACTTTAGGTGATAATTACAACTTCCTGTCTTCGACTCTGAATTCAGTGTTGCCAAAATAAATCCTATCGGTAATAATCGATTCAAATCGATTGTTTTTCGAAAATGAAATCAAGTGTATTTTTTTAATACTGATTCATTAAAATGACATTAAAAAAAACTTTTTAATATGGGAATAACATTTACCATAAAATACTTTATTAACTAAATGAAATACACTTTATTTTGGATCATCAAAAATACGATCGATTTTTATATCGATTATTTTTAATTATCACTACATAATTAGCATGGCAACACTGAAAGAATTTCGTTACGTTACGAAAAAGTACAACATAATGCTGAGTGTATACTGTTATTACCTGACTAAGCATAGTAATATTCACTACTTAATTTATTTCAAAAAATATAGAGCGTTAATAACAAAAGGATTGGATAGTATCTGCTTTACAGAAGTGCCACCAGCAAAAAATTATCAAATCATTTAGATTACGTTTTTATGTGATTACTTCTTTTGTTTTTTTAGGAATGCCGCCAAAAACCAATGCCGAAAGGCAAAAAGCTTACAGAGAACGACTCAAAATGGATAAACATGATGGAACAAAAATAATTTTATTAAAATAGTATGAATGATTACTCCCTTATTTTATTTCTAACCCCTTAATATTACCCCGTATTTGGGTGCATACTTAAAAATATTTCGAATTGAATAAATGAAGAGCATTCACAATATTTCGCCAATGTATAACAAGCCTTATGGCCTTACTATTTCGTTACTACTATTTCGTTACGTACATTTTTTTTGAGAAATACTCAAGTAAGAAGATAGAATGTATTCATTAGAATAAGCATACCCTGATGAAGAAAGTGTATTGAGAAAATTTTTATGTTTAATTCATATAAAATGCATTTTTATCATGTCTAAGATAGTCAAAATTCGAGAAAATTACTGCAAGAAAACAGGTCACATCTCATAATCTAAAAGTCATTTGGCAACATAAACTACTTTATACTTAAGAAGAAACATAGTACTATTATTGTGTGAAAAAGAAAAAATATCTATCTTCAATCTTCAAATGAAAAATTTATTTGAAAATACTATAAAATCGGGTGCATCAAATGGCATAAATCAGTCGTGCTTTGGCACTCGTAAAGATGACCCACGCTGAACTGTCCCACCAAACTCAATGACAGGGGGGCGCTACCATCGTTCAACTATTATATGGTTTCCAACATGGCAAAAATCGGAACCAGCGATCCGGTATTGACGGTGGCGCCCCACTGTCAATGTCATCGACAGGACAGTCCAGTATTTTGGAACTATAGACGCCGGGTCTATGTCAGTTGACTGCCCACTGACGTATATGCGTCACGCGTGATTTTTTCGTAAATTGTAGTATGATTGAGTACTTTTGATCCGCAAGTATTTTTAATTTATTTGTTTAGGTAAATCGGACTTGTAATTTATTTCTTTTCAAACTTTTTATTATTTTACTTACAGAATATGGGTAGAATAGATAAAAGATATTATTATGGTATCTGACTAATAAAAATTTTAACATGGTGTCAAAACATTAGTCTATGCTATTGTGTTTCTACCAACATAAAATATACTCTTCCTTACTAATAAAAGTTGAATAGCGTCTGTATGGTCACACAACGCTTCGTCATGTTTTTCCGAAAGTTCAATTACTGACGACTGAATGAAAGAAATTGGTGCGTAACTATTCATCTGATATTAAACGTTTAGTAATAAAGGGGTAGGTCAGGTAAATGGCAAATCCACCAGCGGTCGCTCGATGACACTTAGACAAATAGTTTTATAAAACGTCAACTAAGTTGGTTAGGTATTTGTATTGTAGATACTTATACAAATGAACGTATAAAATGAGTTTATTTTTAAAAGTATAGGTACAGGGTGGAAACGATAAGTGATTTCACTTGATTTTTAATTATACAAGATATCGAGAAACTGTTTACTGTTCCTGTAAGTGCTTCATGAGCTCTTTAAAACAATAACAATAAATAGGTCAAAGAATAAACTGGATCTATGCGAAAATTCAATGTTTCCGAATTTCATACTAAATGTATGCCGCCAGCCATACCTACCATATTAGAAGTGTTAATTTTTTAAATTTAAATTTTTAATTGAGTAATATATAATAATCAAACAACAAACTCGTAAATTGCATTCTTATTTAAATTATTTACGGAAAACATGATTTTAGGTTTAACTTGCTACAATATCATCAAGAGATACTAATTAATAAATACTAAATAAACAGATAAAGGGGACGGCATTAAGGCACTCAGAATTCTCAGAAACCATTGATTTCGTGTTTGTTTGTAACTGTATTAAATGTATGAAAGCTGGAAATATAGGTTTTTTGAATAGATTCAGTTCGTTCTTAAACATATTATTGATGCCGTTTGCTAGGTCTCATGAAGCACTTTTTCAGTAAGTAACCATTTGTTCGACATCTTGTATACCTACTATAAGAAATATTCGAGTGAGATCACTTATCGATTATTTTCGTCATCCTTATTTGTATTAAATTTAATTAAAATACACTAAGGCTGAGATGCACCACCTAACTTTGACCCTAACTGACAATAACCGGTGTTTTATGTTAGACAGATTTTTGACATCCAAAATTTTGATGTCAATGTTAAAGTAAGACGGTGCAACACGGCCTAACAAATGTATCGTAGACAGTACTTTTTATTTTCTTCATAAATCTTTCTTTTCTTTGTAAAGCTATCTACAAGCTTTTATTTTCTTTGACATCTGGAGTTGTAAAATCTTGCAACTTAAAATTTACTTACTTCCCGTTTTCCCATTGAGCTGAAATTTTGCATGTCTACACAGGCATGCAAAATTTCGTTTCATTTCGCACTAAATAATTTAATTTACACGTGTTTTCATGCGATGGCCAAGTCAATATATTTATGTAAAACGTTAATGATTTCCTGGACTGGACTTGGTATTACATGGATCTCACAACTTTTTACCGTAGAACAACTGAGTAGTGAGACTTGGTTTTTTGACAAGTATTGTTTTCGATGGGTTTGTATTACAGAACGCATGTGTACCTAATGG